CAAAGATTTCAATACCACGATTAGTTTTAACAATATGCAACCACTTTATATTGACATAAAAATAGGAGTTCAAAACCGCCTGGGTGTATTGTTGCTGCAAATTTAAACCGGAGAAAGCATTGACGCGTTATCGCACACAAGGGACCGTCTGACAATTTCACCGACTGGGTTAAAACGTCCAATGTATTTGAATTAAAATGACTTTTAACATTTAAAATAACATACTGTCAAATTGTAAAGCTCCTGCAAATTTAAACCGGAGGAAGCATTGACGCGTTATCGCACACACGGGACCGTCTGACAATTTCACCGACTGGGTTAAAACGTGCAATGTATTTGAATTAAAATGACTTTTAACATTTAAAATAACATACTGTCAAATTGTAAAGCTTGTATTGCTCATAGTGATTTACTACAGGTGAGATTTTGCCAATACCTCCCTTCATATATGTACAGTACACAATTATTTACATATAAAAGATCCCTGGAAAGTGTTTATTCATGTTCCAACGGTTGTAGTACATTGCTGGTTACAAGACTGACTTACTTCATGTGAAATTTTGCCAATATCTCCCTTACTGTATGTACCATTCACAATTATTTAAAACAAAAATAAAAAAAATCTATAAGACCCCAAAAGGGATGTTTCATGTTCCAAAGGTTGTAGTATAAAATATTGATGTACTTTATGTACAGTAAGGGCGGTATTAGCAAAATATCACCTATAGTAAGTCAGTCTAGTCACTAGGAATGTACTACAACTTTATATGAATTACAGTAATTTCTTAATGATAATTATATACTGTATATACAGTGAGGAAGAAATTGGAAAAATGTCAACTGTAGTAAGACAGTCTGGTCACTAGTAACATACTAGTAACAATATTTGGAACACGAAAAACCCAAATTTTGATGAATTACTGTATTTTTTTTCTTAAAAATATTTGTGTAGGGTACATACTTAGGGAAAGGCGAGTTATTGGCAATATATATATTTAATCAGTTTGAGTAAATTATTCATTTACTGTAAACAAATGCATTATTTTTTCAGTTAGTGCTATTTTGTTTCAAAGACATATGGCATTATTTTTCTTCCGTATTTTTCTTCCATATCTGATAAATAAAACTGCATCTGACAAATATATATATATATATACAGTGGGTACGGAAAGTATTCAGACCCCCTTCAATTTTTCAATCTTTGTTATATTGCAGCCATTTGCTAAAATCATTTAAGTTAATTTTTTTTCCTCATTAATGTACACACAGCACCCCACATTGACAGAAAAACACAGAATCGTTGACATTTTTGCAGATTTATTAAAAAAGAAAAACTGAAATATCACATGGTCCTA